GCTTCTTCTTCGAAGCTTTTGAGCTTAGACGGAAGAGAGATGAGTGGGAGCGGAGATGGCGCTCCAAGAGTGTAGAGGTAGGCTTCGAAGTGTGCTATGAACAAGCGTGGTATAATCCGTCGAGAGCATGTGCGTCTAGCAGGGAAATGTGTGTGCCAGGGCAAGGGAGGCAAGTCGGATCAGCTTCAAAACAAAAGGAAACCTCCCGAGGCAAGCTTCTGCCTTCTTCTGCCATTTTTTTTCTTCTTCCCTTTTTCGGTCTTGGAAGCGAACGAAGGAGTATGCGAGGGAGATGGATGCCTCGGATTTGAGACTTTTGCATCGACTCACGATCCAAGCTAACCTGACGCCCGGTCCAGCCTCGAGCAACAACTCGCACAATTCTTCCCTATCCAGCAAAACCTCTTGCACTCCCGCGCGTCTACGTCCCAGCAAGCTGAACTTGGAAGCAGCACCGCCCAGCGCGCCAAGAGCTTTGTAGTCATTGCTGCACCTCTTTTGCAGATCTTGCATCGTGCAAGCGTATTCGTGCAAAGCTTGTTTGACGAAGGATTTTTGAAGCGTCGTCGAGCAGGGTGCGCAAGCCGGGCCGCCGCCGCCGTCAGCATCTTTTTCGGAAGAGCGAGGTGTGAAGGGGGGGTCGGATTGCGAAGCGCTGTAGGCTAGCACATGAGCTGAAGCCCAACTTTCTAGCGCTTTGGAAAATCCAGACATGCCCTTGACCGCTTCTACGGCCGAGATCACCGTCGCTGCTCCTGGCCGCATCGGCGGCAGACCGATATTGCACTGATCTCTGTACGGTTTCAAAAGCCTCTGGCTGATGACGTTGCCGATGCTCTGCGAGACTTGCTGGGCAGCTTGCGAAGTCATGCGCGTATTGGCATCTTCCGCAATCGAATCGAAATTGAAATTCAATCCTCCAGCCGAACTTCCTCCTCCCATCTTGTCCGCCATGCTGTTCTCGTGTCCAATCGTCATGCCTACGCGTTTGATCCTTCTAGAGTGGGAGGCATTGCGCCTCAAACTGGACTCGGTCGATGGCCAAGTCGTGTCCCATCCCCTCTCGGCTACTTGGATCACGCTCGGATGAGCCTTGATCCCGTGCTGCACCAACCAAGTTTGCATTTTACTCAACGAATACTCGTGCGTCAGGCCCATCTCCTCGGGCGTGCTGCTAAACGAGGCTGCTGCGGCCGCTCGAAGCGCAGCAGAAAGGCTGTTTCCGCTAGTGCCCAACGAGGCCGCACTAGCAGCACCGTTGGAAGCGACGGAAGAGATGTTGCCTGAAGGAGGCAAAAGGAAAGCTAGATCCAACTCCAGATCGCAATCTTGAGCTTCCAATCTCTGAGAAGCTAGAGTGAGGCAAGTGAGGTTGGTCGATCGACGTGAAGTGGAGAGGCATTCTGCTGAGAGCAGCGGCGTCAAGATGGAAGCTGCTATTGCGTGGGCGTGCCAAAGCGGCAGCGGCATGCCAGTCTCGACGTGATGGGCGAGTCCACTGCGAAGCTCAAATGATGGAGTGATCAGGTGCCACCTAGCAGTTGGGTGGAGTGGTAAGTAGCCTGCTAGAATACTCACCTCAACACAAAATCACCATCCTCGCACCATCTTTGCAAATCAGCGACCAGCTGCGCTCCCGCTATGGTATCCATGCAAATCTTTGTCTGGCAACAAGGACAGGTTCTGCTCCACCCAATCTCCGCCAAACCTCTTCTCTTGTTCTCCGACGCTCTCAACGTAGGTATGGCATGAGCTCTTCTTCTGAGGAAAGAAATGTGCTTGATGGCTGCTGCTGCTTGAGAGGTTTGATCCGCTCTTGTGTGCAAATGAGAGTCGCATAGAGGAGAGGGACAGATCAGGGGAACACCCTTGGTGGTGAGCGGATCGGAAGTGGTGCTTCGTAGCGATTCGTGCTCCAGTAAAGGAGCCACAAACGGGGTAGACGTCAATGCTTGCCACAATTTGACACTCTCACTTGCATCTATCATGTGCTCAGCTTCCCGCAAAGCCGAGGATGATTTGATGGAGAGACTAGCAGTGTCATAGGCCGTCTTTTGATGTGCAAAAAAAATTTCGACGACGACAATCAGCCTCGTGCTGGCTCATCTACGGTGCACTGCGCTCATGATCACTCACCACATACTGCAGGGGAAAGTGGCGACATTGGAGCAAGGAGTGGTCCGGGATAGTCTGCGCATCTTGCTCGGTGATGAGGGCAGCCCAGACGATAAAGACGTCCAAGGGAGGCAAGAGCTGCGCCTCTGCATCACTACTTGTGCGCGACGCTATCCTCTCCTGCCACAGCTGAAATCTATAGCTAGATCTAGCAATATAAGATGCCCAAGCCTTGTCGTCATCTTCTTCGGCGAGGTACAGTTTGGATTTGTCGGACGTCGACTGAGCTTTAGATTGTGATGCTTGACTGTGGGAGGGGGCAGGGGGCAGGTCCAGCTCGTCGGGAGAATCGCTAAAGGTGTGGCCGTATGCTGGCAAATCGCAATCGCCATGCTTTGCGTCATTCTTCTCTGCAGCATCGCGCGCTCTAGCTCTTTCCGCATCTGCGATTCTCTTCAACTCGCTGGAAGCTTTGCGCACGCTGGATTCGAGGTTGCGTAGGAGCAGCAAGAGAGCGGATAGGTGAGCGATGGATGTGGAGGTGGGCAATGTGAATGTGAATGTGCTGGGAGGTGCTTCTTCAGGTCCAGATGATCCACGAGCCTTGTCCGACCCGATGCGAGCCTTTCGCGACAAATCCGAAGCCAGAGCAGCGCTGGAATTGGCATTGCAGTTGGAAGCAGAGTGATCGTGCGGCTGCAGCAGCTTTGCGCTCATGCGCTGCTTTGCGGCAGATATGCGCCGCTTCAGCGCTTCTGTCATGGCTGCGGTGGGGAGGGGGCAAGTGTTGCGAATGCAAGCCCACGTGTCTTCTAGTCTAAGTGACTGATCCCAACACCCTCAAGTCACAACTATCTACTACTGATCTTGACGATGCGTGGCACCTTGCGCAGAGCCAAGATGCCAAGCGATCGACTACACGGGGCCCGCTTTGTGTGTGTGTGTGTGTGTGTG